AGATGTCCATGGCTAGCTTTTGCCAAGGGCGTTCTGGGAGCGGAGTTGGGATCAGTGGTTCTCTTGTGTGCTGCCTCTGGTGCAGACAGCTGGCACACCTTTCAACCATTTTTGTAATGTCTCCAGTGATGCCAGGCCGCCAACACGACTCTTGAGATGTTCTTGGGCATTTCACAACGCCCTCCTGTCCATCGTGTAAAAACTGCAGTTCTGAAGGTCTCATTGAGAAGGGTACAAACTATCGCGAGTTTCTCATTAAAATGACGCCATACAATGTGAGTTCGTCTTTGAACTGGCAGTATGAAGGCAGTTTTGAGGTGTCCTTGATTTAGTTGTGGGCCACACTTCGTTTATGTACTTTTTCAAAATGCTCATAATCAGGTTACTGTCTTGAGCTGCCGAATGTTGTTCCCGACAGACATCTAAAATTGGTATGTGATGAATGAGAGCATGCTCGAATTCTGTTACCTCTTCTGTTACTCACAGGCCGTCTTCCTTCTTGAGCGGTTGTCTCGATAGGGTGTCTGCGACTACGAGGTCTTTTCCCGGAACATGTTTTATTGTGAAGTCGTACCTCATCATCCGCAGACGGGTTCATTGAAGTCTGGGTGTAAGATCGTCCACAGGCTTTCTGGTAAACAGTGGTATGAGAGGCTTGTGGTCAGTTTCAGTGTGAAAGGTTAGTCCTACAAGATAATCCTTCAGCTTTTCGCAGGCCCAGGTGATTGCAAACGCTTCCTTTTTAATTCAAAAATACCCTCTTTTTGTTTCAGATAATGGTTTTGAAACCTAGCCAACTGGTCGGAGAGTTTCATCTTTTTAATGCTGCATGAGAACTGTTCCTATACCGTAGCTAGAGGCGTCTGCTGATAATATTGTCCCTTTTGTTGTAGAGTAGAGTGCTAAGACCAGTTGAGATGTCACGCTTGATTTTACCTTCTCGAGCGCTCGCTGTTGAGGAGTTCTCCAGTCAAATTTGACATCCTTGTGGAGCGGCACTCTCAACGGTTGAAGTACATCTGCTAGGTTTCGTATAAATCTTGCAATAAAGATTATCATACCGAGGAACCTCTTTAGCTCTGTTGTATTCGTCGGAGGAGGCATGGTTAAGATACTTGATATTTTTTTATTATCTGGGCTTACACCCCTGTGATTAATGTCGTGTCCAAGGAACTGAATTTGTTTCTGAGAAAACACGTATTTCTGTTCGTTTGGGGGATCCCATCTTCTTGCAATCTTGTGGGGACTGTTCGGAGACGAATGTCATGTTCCCTTCGTACGTCGGCCGATATCAAAATATCATTGATAAGGCACGTCACTCCTTCCAATCCATCAAGAATTTGGTGCATCATTCGTTGAAAGATCTCCGGCGCGCAGGAGATTCCAAATGGCAGTCGATTAAATTTGTGCCGGCCAAACGGTATGATAAAAGTCGTAAGCAGCGTCGACTCTGGGTGAAACTTTATTTTGTAGAAGCCTGAATAGGCATCGAGATGAGAAAAAATTCTCGCCTGCCCAAGAGTCGCTAGAAAAGGTTCCACGCTCGGTATCGTGTGTATTCTCTCATAACACTTTTATTAAGTGCGGTGTAATCAACGCAGATGCGAACATGACCATTATTCTTTGGAAGTACAACAACAGGTGAGCACCAGCTTGTTGGTCGCGAACTTTGGAAATAATACCTTCGTTCTACATCTTTTTGAGCTGTTCTTAACTGCTTTCTGGAGTGGAACTGGTAGGCGTCTCGGTGACGATAAGGCAACTGGATAAGTATCAGGTTTTAGATTTATTTCGCACACGTATGCAGCTTCCCCTGCACCCTCAAAAAGCAAGGGGTGCTCCTTGATTGGATCGAGAGCTTCTGAAGTCTACAGCTGATTTACTCATTGGAAGATGTTTAGGGCTTCTATGAGGTCCAAGCCGAGCAGTGGCTCATTGACATTTCTTATTACATAGAATGCGCCCGTTCTATGAGAGTCCTTGAACATGGCCGTGGCCTTCAGCACGCCGAGAACAAGCAGGCGTTCTTTTGTTGGTCCAAGAAGAACTTCATCCGCATGTCGGAGACTGCCCTGGTATTGCAGTTTGCAAAGTAGGTGCTCCGGCACGACAGAGACGTCAGCAGCAGTGTCCAAACGAAAGCTCACACCTTCACTCCAAATACAAAACAAGACTCGCTAGGGTGCGCATTTGCCCGGCGCCGTCACGATTCCTGTGAAGTAGCAGTCTTCGCCAAGGTGTCTGGAAGTTGTGGGCTCTTAGATTTGATGCAGGAAGGTCGACTTCGATTTGGAAACGCTTGCGAAGTGACCCGGCTTTCCACATTTGTGGCATTTGCTCTTCGATACTGGGCAGTGTTTTCGTGGATGAACGTCCCTATTGAAAATTCCATCAAGATACGTAATTTGGGACACTGACTGCCAGTCAGCAGCCTTGGTGGAAAGTGATGAACCATCAGACGTCATCTGATGGTCCATCAGATGACATCTGACTGCCACTGCCAAGGGAATTTCATCAAAAAGAACAGCATTTATATAAGGGTAAAACTATACGCACTCATAAATATCGCCAAATGTCTCGATAAAACAAAATGTTCGAGAAAAAATAAAGAAAAAAAAAACAAAGAAACAGAACCACCGCGAATCGAACCCGCGACCACATGCGTACAAATCGGACACCTTAACCCCTATGCTATGCCATTGCTTTGGAAACTAGATTTGACCATTCTTTTTACACGAGATGCTTCGGCTGCAAATGCAGTTGAGCCTTCAGCATGTTATGCAAAGCACTCGTACATCACTCGCCGTACTTCAGTTCTACTCACCTGCCATGTAGAGTACTTTCGCGTGGTAGAACGATCCTTTTGTTCGCGCGTCTCCGGCCCAGTAGACCTGGTACACCTTGTCGTCTTCAACTACACCGCTAAAGTCCCTTACATCGTCGGAACTCACAACAGGCTGGGTCTTGTCGAGTAGAAATTCTACTAAAACATAAGACATTGTAGAGCCCGGGCAGGATCGACAGGTTGGAGCAAGCGGGCAAACAAAACGAGTCGAGAGCGATCGTTCATGAAAGCTCGGCGAAGCCTCTATGGGCGAAGCGAAGTGGCGTGTTCGGCTATCGGCGGGCTTCTGATCAAGGTTGTCGGTCGGCTGCGCGTCATATCTCTAACATCAGCGGTTTTTTGGGCTCACGTCCCTAAATCGTTTTCTTGTGCATAGATTATTTTTCGTATTCATAGATTTGACGAAATAGTGGTATCCGAACGAACTTTACGTCCTTTGACCGTACGTCTGTCTGCACGTCAAAGCTTTTTGACGTACAGTCAGAGACAATCGATGTACAATCAGAATCACCACCAAGACATCCTGATGGCATTTCGCGGCGGCCGACTGCCACCAGGAAACCATCAGAAAGCCGACAAGTGGATTCTGACTGGAGTTTGACTGTCGGTCAGAGTAACTTTTTGGCCAATCATACATGCTTGACGTACAGTCAGGCACAGTCAGCGGTCCACTAGAAAACATTGACTGCCAAACAGGGTTACATTGATGGATTTTTCCTTCGGGGTCACGGTTGCCGCACCAATAGCAAGCTTGAGAATTCTTTGCTATCATGCTGTGCTTTCTACAAGTGTGGCGTGCCTCTTGGATATCTTGAGGTGATCGACCTGAACCTGATCAGGTTGCGTGGCATCCTCTTGTCTGTGGGCCTCCTGTTGTTTTCCGACTATTTCAGTTTGCTTCGCAAGAAGAACTGCTCTCTCTAGCGACAATTCACTCTCTAGTTGAAGCATCATGGATAGTCGTTTATCGCGAACACCAACGACAATACGATCGCGAATAAGCTCATTGTTTATTTAGCCTTGCTCACACTTATTGTTCAGTGTCTGAAGTGCTCTGATAAAGTCCGTGGCTGCTTCACCACCTTTTTGGATACGAGAATTGAAGATAGCTCGCTCGTTCACAATGTTCTTTTTGCCAATGAAATGTATCTTGAAAGTTTGGATGATGGATAAGTAGTCCTCAGCTTCAGAGGTTGGAATGTTGAGCGTCGCATAAATTTCCTCCGCTTTATGTCCGATCAGGTAAATGAAAGTGTTTACCTGGTCGTCCTCAGGCTTGACGTGCAATCCAGATGCCGATCAAAAACGCTCCCAGCGGCGCTTCCATATCAGCCATTGCTGCGGATGAAAATTGAAAGGTTCAGGAGCGCTGACCTGATATGGCTTCGAGGGGGTAACTTGCACCGATGAAGTGGCTTGTCCAGTTTGCGTCATGAGCAGGCCTGGTTCTGAACGATGTAGTCAGGACGATTTGGTCGTTCTTTGCGAACTCGGCCGCTCACTTCTGGCGTCGAAGATAGCTGACGAGTCCCGAAACTTCTGACACCATATTTTGTAGTAGGTGGGTTTACTCAGCTATGCACATTAAATGCGATGAAGTGATGCGTCTTGAGTCAGCCCGAAGTCCAGCACGAGATGCAGAGCTCCCGCTCTCTATGCGCTTCGTCGTCTTCAAACTGCGGCTATCCAACAGTCACCTTTGCACAACCATTTATTCATTATCTCAAATTAGGTGAGGTGTTTATTGCATTGGGTTTATTGTTCACTCTACGCATGGCTGAATTGGTTGTGCGTGTGGAATCCACACGGGCGGTTTGGTGCTATCCTATTTGTATCTTTTGAAAATAAATGCTGACGATACTCACCAATCAATCAAAATATATTGTTCGATTAAGCCAAAATAATCTCATAAAGCTCATTGAGCAATTGAGAAAAGTATGTGTTCATGACTAGAAGCTTGCAAGTGCCAAAACTTGTTAAAGTTGGAAGTTTGTTTCCCATAATATTTTAAGTCGGGCTATCTTCATCGTCAAGAGAAACCGCAAGTGTTCCCAACCTTACCAAGAAGCAGGGGAACATTTCATTCGATATTGCTTTCTTTCTTTCCTCTCCTTATTTATTTGGATATTTTTTTCCAAAATAGTTGCAATGAAAGATAGAAGTTTCTGCAGAACTCTTGATTACAGCCTTGTTTCGGCGCGTCTCTTTTGTCTCCTTGGCCGAGGGGTGGCATCATCAATCTCCGCGTCTGTTAGATTTGAAAATTGAGTGAAGTCGGTGTATTCGGTTGATAGACAGAGACCATCTGTTTTACCGTCTTCATGATAGCAACTGCACTTTCCCGTGCATGTTGTCCAACTTCCATCATCTTGCTTTGTGCACTGAAAATAAATAGTATCAACAAAATCAAATAGTATATTAATAAACTCTTGTACAAAGCGTTCCTAATGAATTGAATTGTTTTTGTATACCAGCACTTGACATTTTATATTTAAAATACTCCTTAGTTCCACCTCAAAAACGTGCAAGATAGGTAAAATATTTGTTCTCTCTGACTAATGTCTCGCTAGACAAATCTCAACATTTCATTAATAATAGCAGTAAAAAAATTTTTGCAATTTAATTTCACAAAAAGTAGCTAGATGCTGCCGTTATATGACAAAAGCATAAAGTTGAACTCGCCGGATCTATTACTATAATCTTCTGAAACGTGAGATAACTCGACGTGTTAAAAACCTGCGAAACTGGAGAGGCCTTATTTTGTCGAAGGAATGACCATTCACATTTTGTTAGACATTTAGTAATACCAATATTATCTACCTATAAATTAACACAAATTTGTGCATATAACTAGTAATGCTATAGAAATAGATCGTCCTGACGTATTGCCAAAATTAGTCATGCCAAAATATAAATAATTTCAGAAATATTGTAACTAATCAGCGACAGAGTATAAGATAAAAATCAAAGAAATACAGTAAGCTCCACAATACCGACAATGGCCAGTGCGCCAGTGCGCCTTTTCTGATATCGATATATAAATATTACTGTGGATTTGGAAATGTAAAGGCATCTATCAAAATCAATATATTCCTATGCACCTGCCTCTGTTATTTCTCTCGAGGTTTTGTTATAGCAATATTTTTCAGGCTAAACCAATAAAAATATATTACATTGCATGCGTCCTAAGATAAATAAATAACTGGCCACGCATAACATTAAACAGAGACAACTGAGAACAATTTCGGTAAAGCACGGCTTGAGTAATTCTGAAGACAATCCGGCCTGCACTTCTTCCAACCCTCGCACGACTAACAGTTCGACTCCATCTGTATTTCCGTTATGGACACCATGCATATGCCTTCTGAACTGGTCGAACACGGCGGAAGCTTCTTTGTCTCGGACTGTGCGAAATATGTATTTGGTTCTGTCTTCGGTCTTTACGCACGATTTAGCCACCTTGAAAAAAGACGCCAGGGCATATCATACAGTAGCTGACATGAACCAGAATATTTTACGTATATAGTCTTGAATACAATTGCCTTGTTGCCCTGATACATTCCTTAATATATATAATGTCTGCGGTTTGAAGACTTGGAAACATGAGAAGCGCACAAAGTCAACGAATTGAAAGCCAAAAATGTAAGTACGCCTATATTTTAAATTTGCATGGAAAAATGAAAACAGTTCACAAATCTCTGTAACGCGAAATAATAGCTCAGGTCTAAAAAAGGAGCTGGGGAGGATACGGAGGGGAGGGTATGGCCCTCCTCCGTACCTTCCCCACCTTCTTTCCTCCTCCCCTCCTCCTCCTCGCCTCCTCCTTCCCCTCATCCCTCGTCCTCCCATCCTCCTCCTTTGTTCCTCCTACTCCTCGTTCCCTCCTTTTCTCCTCCTCCTGTCCTCCTCCCTTCCTTCCCTCCTCCTTCCACCCTCATCCCTCTTCCTCCTCTCCTCCTTTCTCCTTACTCCTATCTCCCCGTTCTCAATCGTATCCTCCTCCTCCTCCGCCCCCTCCCCTCCTCCTCCGCACCCTTTCGTCCTCATCCATACCCTACCCTTGTCCAACACTTCCCCACTAAATTTAACTGAAAGTTTTACGCCACGTGACCTCAACACCAGTTCAGTTTGCCTGCTAAATTTAGCGGGAAAAATGATATGACGTGACATCGTGTCACATCAACTGTGATCAAATTCAGTTTCTCCGCTAGATATATCGGGAAAAGTGATGTCATGTAACCTCAACATTAATTCCATTCCTTGCTAAATTCAGCGGGGAAGCTGAATAGGTATTGAGGTCATGGAACGTCAGTTTTACCGCTAAATCTGTGTTCCATTAAGGGACATCATAGACCTACACATCAATTAGGTCTCTTCGCTCAATTTAGCCGGAAATTGAGTTGGTTAGTAGGTCTGGGGACGTCCCATAATTAAACGCACGCGGTTCCGCCGACGCCGACGCCGTTATACACGGAAACAAGCGCTCAGGAGCTGAGCACTAATATAGATTTAAAAAAGAACACCTACGAAGCTTAAAACTTGTGTTCGATATATTCACGTATATGTTAGTTTGACGCAGAAAATTGAATAGTAATGAGGATGAACAAATATTAACATAAAATAATTTAGTTATTTCAGCGAATGTTTGCCTTATTTATATGCAAATAGTAGAGCCTATATAGTCGCACGCGGTAATTATTATAACAAGTATTTTGAAGAGAAACATATTTCTCAACACAAGCGAAACCTGTATTTCATACTCAAGTAAATATTTCGTTATTCATTTTTCCCTGTTTTCTTGAAAAGAAAACAGTAATTGTTTCTATATTTTTTTTTATTTTGTAATATATTCTTGGGTTACTTTTAAAGCATGCATTAAATCGTTTCCTATTAACGGATCGCCAACTAAATCAAGGTGAACACTTGGTCTCCTCCTTATTCGCATATTCGTTTCATCTCTTACGCAATTTAATATGGAGTTTAAGTTATCTTGATTCATGCTTGAAAAGAGTGTCAGTCGTAACAATAAAGGGTTAGGTGTTGCAGGCTTTTTTTTGTGAAATATAACGATTCCGATGTACTAAGCTACGTATGATATAGACATGCTGCACTTTGGATGAGTTTTGACCAGTAAACTAGGATTCTAAACGGGAACTTTTTAAGGATGCATTTGTGTAGTAATAAAGCTCAATGTTTAAAATTTTAGTTTTCAAGAAACATATCTTTTAGACTTACGTGGACGTTTTGCGCAGGAAATCGTAGTGAATATTCTAAAAAAAGTTTACGCAGGTCACTTATACAATATATTCTTTGTAGATGCACGAATATATGCACTAGGTAAAATTAATTGCTCCAGCATCGTTGCACAATGAGGATGTCACGAACACGTAATGCAACTCGTCTTTTTCAGGTGCTTTTTTTACTAATTGTTGCTTAATATATGGTACTGCATTCTCCATTCGTACCTCGAGAACATGGTCAAATACATTTATCTAGCAAGTGTACAATTGACTTACATTCATGCCGCAATATTCGACACTAAAGAGTTCGTCTTCCTCACTCAATGCATCTGTTCCTGCCATAAATATTTGGATGCTGAAAAAAACAATAAAAGTAGTTATTTTAGAAACAACTGGTAAACAACTCGTGGACCCACCGCTTTAGCGAACTATATTATATGTTGGCAGAAATTTTAGAAGCGATTTTGAATCTAGTGATCTAATATTCGACAATTATGAGTACTCTAAACGACCTTTTTTTCGCGGTGTAACTATTTAGCGATTTATGTCAAAGATTCGCGGGTTCTAATTTTCGCGATGCGGTGTGACCTCTCTATAGATTTCAATGTGTTTACAATTTATCGGAATCGTTCGCCAGACCTATTTTTCGAGAATTGTAGGCGATTCGCCGAATTCGCGAAAATTAAGTCGTTTACAGTTTTTGCAAGATTATTCTACATATATAGACAATAGTGAAATATTATAAAACACAATCAGTTGCTTTAATGTCGTAAAAAATGTTCATTACCCTAAATCAGCATACAGTTAAATTTTAAACTCAAAGAACGGCTCAGTTTCTGGCCCATTCATGGTTTATGGTAGTCTCTAGCTTCAAGGTATCACGTCATGCTTTCGTGCCCATAGATCTTCACATTATCATGCTTGCACCATACCCGTCCAGAAATAGTTTCATTGTTTATGTACACCGCGTGATTATAAAGGAGGCATGCATTTATAACAAGCCTACTTTTTGTTTAGTTTTTTTAATAGCACTTGTTAATGTGGTACACCGAGAACTCAGGGCATGCCTAATTGAACAAGCTTTAGTGCACGTATAATTATAATTCAAGTTAAACGTAGATCATTCCATGTCATAAACATAACCAGAATGCATAACCACAAGCGCAGATTCAACTTTAAAGAAATGGTTGGCGGAATTCGTCCTGCAAAATATGATACTTATTTACATTGTTGTCCTTTACATTTAATGGCTTATGTTTTTAAGACAATGACATAAAAGTTCGTCCCCCGAACTGCTTAAAAAATCTTGTGTCATTTAAAATAATAACTTTCCCAAACACCGTTTAGAAAACATTTTCCGTGAGTTGCATATCTCACTATCAGCAGAGAACATCGAATTTAGATTGTTGTATTTTATTAATATTCATTACAGGAGGGTGCAACTATACGTAGGATAAGACTTTTAAATTGGGGCTACAATTTAACAGGCGTAAATGCTCCCTCATCAAACAGCATAAAAGGCATGGTGCTAAAATTGCAGGAACAAAAAACGATAGAGAATATTGTAGAAACACGGGTTATGATCTGCTGAACACACAATGAAGGAATTTTCGCAATAAAATAAATACATTCGTTTGCACCTATTTTAATATAAATCGATGCCTACCAGCTAACTCCATTTTGATCCATATTTTTTCCGCATTACCCTATGCTATTTAGTGGAAGAAAGGATATTCTGGTCACAGACAATGTTTAAGTTTATAATTTCTAAAACAAAATATCTGTGTATCTTAAAGAGCCAAACTTAATCCGGTTGCCAGACATTCATCAGCATAGGTTGTTCTGATGCCTTTTTCTAATCTAGAGAATACGCGAAGCGGAAGTCACGGCAACTTATAATAATACACCAGTTAGTAAATAATCTATTAAACTGCGAATCCAAAATAACAAACGATATTTGTGATTTTCGATGAGCTAAGTGTCTGAGTTCAGCCTATTTGCAACTTTAAACCAGAAGCAACTGTTAATTGCGCAATAGAAGTATTCTTACTTACCCGAGGGCAATAAACACTGCGACTTGAAGAAAGACAAATGTTTTGACTTCCATTTCCAGACATTCGAGAGATCTCTAAAGGGTCGGGCTAAAAACGCTGCTTTTATACTTGCAAACTTGACATTTTTTAGTTGTTTCCTTTTGAAACAAACTCAGTTTGACGTCATAAGTATAACGAAAGCTTGCTCAGAAAAGCAGATGTTTAAAAAACAGCTTGCCACTTGACACATCCTAAAATGCACCTGTTTTTCTCCGTGAGCAATCATAGGTGCGGCGCAATAGAGAAAAGATTTTTAAAGCCTTATAAAAATAACAAGAAAACAAAACAGAATATTCGGCTTCGTTCCATCTGTGTTTGCGTGGCTTAGATAAAATAGGTGTATAAAATAGCTGTGTAATTATCATCGAATTCCCAACACAGTTATATCCGTAGATTAGCAAGATAAGTTATTGTAACTATCGTTAACTACTTACATACTCCTTTTAGTCTTCGAGGAAAGTAAAACAAAATTTCGGTTTGAGTAATCAATTAGCATTAAAATAATACAAAAATATTTCATCGACATCCAGCTGTCCTGTCTTGTTCAAAACCAAGACTTCTTATCAGAGTTCCACTGACGTGTAGACGCCGATGTTAACGGAATGCTCTCAGGTTTCACATTGTTTTCATCACTGATGTAGCTGTCTACCAACTATCGTCTACTTCCTACAAATCGTAAAGGCTCAAGGATTTGTTCTCAGATATGCCTTTGAAGAAGTAGTTTCTGTATCCCTTTGTCGGCTAAAGCAGACTTCCGCACCAACGCCATGTTGTTTTAGCGTGAACGCTCACAAGCGACTGCATTCACAAGCGACTGCAAACCTATTGCAAGCGACTGCAATAGGTTTGGTGACAAAAACTACACTCATAAATCAGCTGGCGTTGCTATAAATGTTAAGAAAAATTGACTTCATCTTATTTTAGTTAGAAACATGGGACAACATTGTCGATAATTATTATATATATTGGTAAATGGGTTTCGAAAGATTAAGCGTCCTTCCACATTATAGGTAATCAGAATAGCTTTTGTTACTAAGAACCCACCAAGATTTACATGGTGATTATTTCGGGGGAATACAAAAATAGAAACAATGATTCGCAATTTTATGGTAGACATTAATTTGTTACTTCTTAAGCGTAGTAAGCAACGCTGAATAGTTTTGCTTTAACCTTATAGGAGACCTTTCAATACACGTTTTAATATTATCTCTTTAAAGCGAAAAATTACGAACTTCAAAAGGACTGTTGATCAGTTAATGATATATTTAAAAAAAAATATTCGCTGATATTGAATGAATAATTTCTTCTGCTCTCAGTCTAATGTTGAGGCTGATTTTGTATTTTGTATTATTTTTATCCGGGGCATCATCGCTGTAAAAACATTACGAATGCAGTGAATGTAGTTTTTATTTTTCAGTTGTATACGTATTTTGCTCACACACGAATACAGTGTTCAGAAACAAGTGAAATGACATATTTACATATGGAGGTCATCAATGCAGCGGCATTCTCGTGAGTGCGTGTTTAAGCCCGAGACGACGTTGCAATCCTGCAAGAAGCGCGTGCAGCGAAATGTTTTGACGATCCAAAAAGGTGGGCAGCGGTCCTCGGCAACTTACCATTTGCGACGGAGACCTTTTTACTGAATTTTAGGTGCCGGCTTAAAGTATTGGATGAGTAGTCACAAAATGTGATGCTTGTATCCTTTGCCTACATGTAGTTTGATCGAAATACGAAGAGCTAGCTCTAAAACGTTACACGGCGTTCTGGCTGTTTATTACGTTTTATGTCGCCCTTAGGTATCGTGGAGAATCATAAGTAAAAAGAGGGACCACACATTTCAGCGATCTTTGGTTCCTGCTCACGAGACATTCGTGCTTTAAACATTTTTTTTTTCTCTTGCGTTTTTGAGTAAATGTATCAATCAATGAGGACACTTTTGAAGGGTTGATTTCCTCAGTCGGCAGTACTCTAATGCAGTATGATGTCTGCTTGTGGATATGGCATGTAAACTTCTTTAATATATTAGAAGGCATTTTTCTGATTCAGACGTAAATAAAGACTAGGCTCATTTGTATTGAAAAAGCACATTAAACGACTCCACAGTGACCTACATATACAAAATAAAAGTTTGAGCCACGTCGCAATTTTGGGAGCAATGTAAAGTGAAAAACAAATATTTATTAGTCGTTTATAAACGTCTTTGAATGTGAATAGTAACTTTTTAATACGTATGCGAACAGACATTACTATCCATAAGAAATATAAAAAAAGCTGAACGATAAATGTCATTTAAAGAGCGTCTTCTAGCTTTGAAATACTTTTAGTTCAGTGTACCAACATTGCGCTCCAGCAAAATTTGCTTAGAAACTGTGAATACGTAAATATTCTTAGAAGAAAAAAATATGAAAGGAAAACGAGAATGCCCCGGAAACAGGTCACGTGAGAATCAGTGCGGAACAGCCAGCAACCGGCAGCCACGGCTGGGTGCTTCAAACATACCCCAAAGCAGTATTTGCCTGCACGTCTTTGGCGACAACATTTACCGGCTGCACAACACTCGGGCGAGATACATTCTTTGGAAGGAAGTCAACGTCGTGCCAGAATGTCGATCTCCTCAAAACCCAAAGTCAATCGGGGACGTCCGCACTCCGACACTCCACCACGAACCAGCTCCCATACCCACATTCCAACCAGGGAACCCCACAGCCGTAGTACGCTCTACGACGCAGAAACTGATATGAGTCTTAGAACTATCCAGAGTTTGCATATATGCAGACTTTCTTTTAATTTATTTTTAAAATTTAGTTTCTTATTTTTTACAATGCAAATTGTCAACTTCTTGAGAGATCGTCTACGCGTTTTCTGAAAAGCTTACATTAGTGCTACTAACCTTCTCATTACAGTGGCGTCCGCGACACGACAGAATGTATGGTATTTCGGCAAATCATTAATTTAAAAAAATTGATTGGTTATGAAAATGAAACCGAGTGAAGGAGAAATTGCTGGTTGCCTCAAGAGTGGGCATCGGTGAACGGCTACGATGCGGAACGTGAACATTTTCGTTCTTATGGTCCAGCTCGCAGGAAAGGCCACCACTTGAAAGCTGGCTTCAGCATCAAACCTTTGCCGTCTCCATGAGCCCACCGAGCCAACCGACGTGATCAACATCGAGCGACTACCCGTTTTAGCAGCAACATCGTCAACGTCATCCGCAATGGTATCAGCAAGTGAATTCGCCAAAAAGCTTGGAGCGTCATCGCTGTCGGTCAGTGGGCATGGGCGCAAGGCTACGATGCGGAACGTGAACTTTTTCGTTATTCTGCTGCAGTTCGCGGAGGGCCACTGGTCTCAAGCTGGCACTAGCATCAAACCTTTGCCGTCCCCAAGGAACCAACCGAGCCAACCTACGTCATTATTGTCGAGTGACTACCCGTTCTAACAGCAGCATCCTCAGCGTCATCGGCATTGGCATTATTACATGGATTTGTTACAAAGCTCGGAACATTATCGCTGTTGGCCAGTGGGCATGCGTCAGGCTACGATGCCGAAAGTGAACTTTCTTGTTCTTCCGCTACCGGTTAGTAAACGTGACATTGACCCTTGCTTTATATCAGACTGCATTTGCTGAGTCGTGCTTCTATGCAAAGGAGCCTGTCTTGGGTCGTTCAGAGTGTTGCTTTTGATGCTGTGCGGTGATGTTGAGGTAAACCCAGGTTTAGGAACGAATAACAGGTTATACCGTTTAATGAAATGTCTAATTTATCACAAAACCTTAATGCGCGTTCGCTAAAATTCGAGAAGGGGGAAGCCACTACGATTGCATCTCCAAACAATCTTAAAGCAAATAATCAATCAAATAAAAATTATGTCACTACCTTCTTCCTTCTTTTTTCTTTAAATGCACTGTAAATCTATTTCGAGATTGTTTTGTTACTGGGGTGGATCAAACTTATCTTCACGCAAGCTGCACTTTCTGCAATAACTTGGAACAAAAATCTTAGAAGTTAGTAGTATTTACAACATCAGGTAGCAAACTATTCAAATCAATAATAGTTCGAGAAATTGAGTATTTAAATGCGTCATCTTTATAACTATGTGGTTTTATTGTTTTGCTGAGGAAATGCCTAGGATACCTGGGCCAGCAACATTTAATATCGAATGTTTTATATTCCAAGCTCGTCATTAACGATAAGGTAGATACATTTTACACGATTCCTTCTCCTTCTCTCCTGTGAAGTTTACAGGACCGCTTCAGCAGAAGGGTTTGTGGAAACACATAAGAGGAACGGATATTGAACACAAAACGCATTGCTAATCTCTGAAATCTCTCGAGTTCTGAAATAAAACATGGTGTGTTGTGATCCCAGATGCCACCCACATATTTTATCATTGACCTAAACAGAATTTTATATAATACTAGCTTTTGTCTCGCGGGAGCAATGCTTCATATAACTGCGAAGAAATCCCAACTTACTCATTGCTCTACTAGATATGTTACTAACATGTGTGTTCCACCTTATATTAGATGTTATCGTCGAACCCAAATATATATACTGAGCCACTGAGTTACCTGTTCTTTCTGGAGTGCCTCAGGACTCGGCGCTCGATCCGCCGCTGTTTTTGGTTTATATAAACGACCTGCGAGTAGACAAGCCCTTCATGCAGTGTCGTTTTTTTTTTGCTGATGACTGTGTATTATTTTCCCAGATATCTAGCGTGTCGGATCAAAAATGTTTAGATGAAAGCGTTAAAATTATTTTTTCATGTTGTCAGAAGTCACAAATGAATTTGAATGTTAAGAAGTGTGTGCAAATGTCTATGACAATGAAAAAGATTACCCATTTGTTTTTCTATACCATTGACTCAAACGCTTTAGAAGTTGCCAATGAGTATAAGTACCTAGGTGTTACAATCACATCAAACGTAAGTTGGGCTTATCACATTGGGCAGGTTATTGCAAAAGCGTCCAGTAAATTGTGGTCGTTACGATGGACTATGACCCACTGTACTT